CGCTAACCCTTATTACATTCTTGGCAGGACTAGACTTCCTGTCTCTGGAACTTCTCTGGAGTTTTTTTTTCCTCTTTTGCTGGTACTTCGCTTATGTGGAGTGACCATTCAAAGTTACAATGGCACTGAAAAAAGTGACTTATGAACATTTTTCACACTTACGACTGTTGCAGCAGCCCCACAGTCATAAGAGGCCATGCGAGGAGATGCGTGCCTCGATGTGAGTGATGTTGAGTTCACCATGTCCACCCAGTCACATGACCACCAAGCCACACCCACCAACTAAGCTATTCCCACAGAACCATTTGTTAAAAAATTTGAATCCCACCCCTGTGTGTGTGTGTGTGTGTGTATGTGTGTGTAATTACCAAGGGAATAATGGAGCACTTTGTAATTGTTTGTGTGTCAAGGAACAAGACTCAGATTATTGCTACCGAGATGCTTGTGCAAAACAAATGAATCTGGATTTATTTATTTATTTTTATTGGTAGAGATAATGATCATTTGAGACCAGAAAAGGGGTAATTGGGTCAAACAGTTTTAAAACCACTGTTTGCCCATCATATTTACTATCAATCTGTCATGTCTGGCATCCTCCAGACATTTGAGGATTTCAAATGTGTGCTGGGAATTTTCGAAATTATAGCTCCAACATTAGAAGAAGCCTGATTATTTATAGAGTTTATTGCTTCTTGGCTTTATATTCTTGTTCTGGAGCTCAAGTTAACAGCAGTGTGTGGTGTGTCTTCATTATTTATTCATAACAACCTATAGAAGTGACTGAGTAAAGAGTTGATCCTGGGATTATATCCTGTATCCTAACCAATATAGCTCAATTTACTGGTTAAGGCCATACATGCTAATAAATGGGAAGATCTTAAAAGAAGAAGAATGAAAAACAACAACAATAGAGACAGAGAAGTATAGGATCTTATTATCTTGCCTGATAACATTTGATAGCACTAAATAAAAAATTGTAAATATTTAAAAATGAGTGGTCCTGTGCGATTCCCATCACAGCAAGTGCATCATGGAAGATCAAATATTGTTTTCTGTTCACAGTTTGATCTTACACAGATTTTTTCAGGGCTGGGTTGAAATACAATGATTACATGTTTTAGTATGAGATCAGTGGTTTGTTCTAGGAAAAGGTAATCAATATGGAAATTTATCTACCTAGTACTTACTTTATCCTTTTGGGACTGGAATGGGAAAGGGTAGAGATTAGGTGTAAAGAAAGAAGGAAGCAGGTAAGCAAGTAAGCACGCAAGCAAGGGAATTTCTTATAGTGAATCTCTTTTTGGCCTGGTTTCTGAAAAATAACTGAAAATCTTTGGAAATTGTCCTTTCCTCTTAGGCCATGACATGGGCTAAAAATGGAATAACTACTTCAAGTTAGGCCAGATTCCCTGGCCTTCCATTTCCAAGAGGATAATTCACCCACATGCAATCTGAAAAAGATTAAACAATACTGAATACATTTCAGTGAAGTATATATGAATTTAGAAGAAAAAAAAGGGAGGCAGAAGTTGAGATGGACATTCTTTGTTATAGAAGAAACTTAAGATCCACTTGTTCCCTGCATTCAGTGGGAATTATTAAAGAGAAGGAAGGCGAAACACATAATCATGAACTAATAGAGATATTTTCTTCATGATAGTAGTTACCATCCAGTCAAATTACGGCAAGTCTCTCTCCACTAAGAATAAGAACAATGCAGAATAATCAGTAGGGCTCTGGTGACTCATATCTTCCTCTGAAAAATTCTACCATATTTTGTACTTAGATAGACATTATTATGGTGAGATAGATTACATTACTAATATACATTAAGAGGTTATTCTTGCTGACCCCTTGTGGATTTTACAATTACTTCACCATCCCAGGATGACCTTCATCTAACGCTGCTGAGTTCAAAGTTATTCATAATATTATACCATTCCTTTTTGTGGGGCAGAGAGTTTGGAGAGATGCATCATACTGTTGTCAGTCTTATAAAATAAGTTAAGCTAAGTAAGGGGCTGTATTGGGTCTGATTTGAGAATAGTCCTGGTGACTAGTTCTCCAGGCAATCCTCCCATATCTGCAGACACCATCTCGACCCAAAGACATCACGTATCAAATTCTGCTTGACACTTACTAGAAGGAATGTAAAGAAATTAAATGAAATTAAAGGAATCCTTGAAGAATAATCAAGGATGGAGAAGAAATTCTAGAACAGGCTTGCCTTCTGGTTCCCAATAGTATGTATGCTAGTAGTAGTAGTAGTAGTATTAATAGTATTAGTATTAGTATAAGTGTTAGCATAAGTATTAGTATTAGCATAAGTATATTAATAGTATTAGTAATAGTAGAAGTATTCAAAATGCAATTGTCAACTTTTGCTCTGCTTTCTAGCTCTAGGAGATGGACTTTTTCAAAGGAAAAAGAAATCCAGAAATGTCCAGAAATTAAAGATAATTGTCAGCCAGGATTATGTTATTTCATTTTCCTATCAGATTAGTTTTGTTTATAAGTATTTACAAGATAAATGTATTAAAATATAAAGCTTAAAGTAATCTCCTTTGAAGAATCCTGATTTAAAACATATACATAATCTTAGAAAATGAAATTAGTTACCTGTAGCTAACTGGTTAATTGCTTTCAAAGGCATTTATAATAGTCTGTTATCAAAAATGTTTACTCAGATAAGTTAACTCTACTGGATACAGTAGGATTTACTTTTATATGAGAGTAAATACAATTAATTATAGCTGGATTTGGGATCTCTGTTGAGAGAAAAAAAAGTCTAAATAAGAAATCTCTTTCCAGGCAGGTTATTTTAATAAGATAATTATTTTGTATTAAATATTTAAACAGTTTTATCACACAAATACAATGCACTCCTATAATTCAGATTGTGTTTTCATTTGTGGCCAGATGGATTGACACAATTTATGTCTTCACCATTCATGAGATCTCAACCTTCAATTATTTTCTTTTTGATAGTCTGTTTTATCTCCTCAGCCAATCGTGCAGTTCATGATTTATGCCCAGTGTAGGGATAAGTTGTTTAGAAAAAAGTGTCACAGTGTATGAAGGTAGAAAAAGAAGGAAACGTTCTCCATGGTAAGTATACAATGGAAGTGATCATTATGGACACTGTGAAAATTGATTTATGTCCCTTTAGAAGCATTAGAATATTAAACAATGAAGTTAGCTACTTTCTTTCTGTTTCACTGTTGGAGGCTTAATTATTTGTATATTTATTCATTTTGTAAGGCTGCCCATCTCAACTTCAGACTTATTTAAAAACAATACTTAAAAACAAGGAAAAGAACACAGAGCAAAATTATAAATAACATATAGAAGCTGAAAAAAAAACCAATAACAATTAGCAAAATGAGAACATTGGCTCAGCCATACATCTAATGTAAATGTATAATATTATAGGTCGTGAGGTCAGCCCCAACTTTCCTGACCTTCCATAAGAACCTAAAGATCTGGCACTTCCAGTTAGCTTAGGGCTCCAATGATGGAGCATCAGAATAGAGGTCCTATCCTTCCCATCTTTTAATTGGCTTCTAGTGTTTGGATTTTGTACCAACTTACTATGTTTTCAATTTATATAGTTTTTATCTTTTATGATTGTAAACTGTCCAGAGTTACCTCCTGAGGTAACATGGGTGCCCTATAAATTTTTTAAGATAGATAGATAGATAGATAGATAGATAGATAGATAGATAGATAGATAGATAGATAGATAGATAGATATAAATGGATAAATACATCTCTTAAGATTAGTGGTAAGATACAGTTTGTGATCATACCTGCACAACCTTAATCATACTGTAATAAGCCTAAACCACTGAAAATCTCTCTCTCCCTCTCGCACTCTCTCTCCCTCTTGCGCTCTCTCCCCCTTTCCTTCTCCCTCTACCCCACTCTCTCTCTCTCTCTCACACACACACAAATTTCCAATGATTCAAAAGTATCAAATTATTAAATTATTAACCTGAGAACTTGGACTGAGTATAATGACTAGTTGTTGGTTTTATTCTTCATCTGATTCAAAGCTGAATTGAGTATGAAGAAGATAATTTAATTCAATTTTGCTGGAGATCCGTCTAACCATAGCGGGTTAGGTGTGGGCTGTATTCTTTTTAAAAATGACTTTACTTCATGACAAGATAAATGAGTTAGTGAGAGTGCAGTGACCTCCATGGGTGCCATTTCTCATATACTACAACTTTTGCTAACACATCTCCAAATTCTATTTACAGTACAATGGCTCACTGTAGGAAAATGGATGCTCAGCATATGATTTGGTATTTTCTACAAAGTGCAACAAAGATTTACTTCATTTGTGAGCTTGCAGATCTCATACTCTTAACATTCACAATCGTGGTGATGTTCTGAAAACACAACTTATAATTTTGATTTTGATATAATGGAAAGCTTGCAAAACACCATTCAAAACACATACAGACAATCAATCTCTTTAGTGCATTTAATTGAAACCAAGGGTTTCATAGTAGAAATTGAAGTAAAGTACTTCAGAAATTGCAGGATGCTTACCACTATCTCTGGCTATAACTGCCCAGTTTAAATAGCTATTATGAAATCTAAAATTACAATAAATCTTGTTTCTTCTTATCTTCAGGTCTGCTAATTTCAAGCAAAAGCTGGAAATTTTCTGGGAAGAATGATGCTGTCATGAAACACACCAATAACTATAATTTTGAGTTGAAAGGTGACTCTACTTTCAGAATACTGAATGTGGAAAGCTTGTTATAAGAGTCTCACCTAACATAATCCAAATACAGCAGACCTTGTGTTCCTCTCTGTCCTACTGCCTCAATTCCATATACTCCATATTAATAACATTTCACAAGTTATTGTAAGAGTAAGCAAAAGCCACACTCTTTTTATAGGGTATGCCCAAAATGTTTTAATCACATTGCCATTTAATTGTACTCCCCTTTTATTAATTGCTACCACTGTTTGAAACAATGCCATACCTTCTTTCCACAGTCAAGACCACCGTATCCACTTCTACAAGCACAAACATTTGGTTGGATGCATCGGCCTCCAAACAGGCATTTTGGTTCACAGACAGCTGTGAGAAAAACATCACATTTGTATTATTTCTAAACTCACGCAGATGTAAATTACAATGTTAAACATGGTTTTCCTTTGAATCACTTATGACCTCCATCTTCATGTTTCCAGAAGCAAGTGCAAATGTGGCTTTTTTGTAAGGTCTTTGTAGTTAATTGTATTTAGCAATATGCCTTCTTATAATTCTGATTTTTTAGCTTTGTATTCTCAGTTAATAATATCAATTGGATTTTGGACAATGCTTTAATATGACAATAATTCAAGTTTATTCTTGAACCACTAATGCAAAAGAAGACGAGGTTGATAAGTTTTATAATCAACTTCAATTTCACATTTCACAACTTCACATTTTGATTCTTACTATGTTACAGAGCACCTGATTATGACATTAAACATGTAAACAAGCTAAATACACTACTAACATGGGCAGCATCCTGCCCACACACTTTTATCTTTCTTGGTGACTTCAATCTACCTCATATTGACTGGACCCTAAATGAATGTACAACTGAACCCATACACGCAACCTTCAACAATGCTGTTACAAATCTGGGACTGGAACAACTAGTAACCAACAACACTAGACTAAACAACTGCCTCGATCTCATCTTCTTCAATAGTTTGAATTTAATTTATGGAATACAAACTAAAGAACCCTTTTCCAGCAGTGACCACAATATGATTGACTTTTGTCTCAACATACGCCCACACAAAAATCATCACAATGATGTAATCCCCAATTATAACTTCAAAAAAGGCAACTATGATCTTATAGACAACAATCTCTCATCCCTTGATTGGCAATCTCTATTCACTGGATGCAATACTGTTGAAGACCATTACAATGTATTTTTACTTGAAGTCAAAAGAGTCATCAAACTATATGTACCAATAACAACTCCCAAAACAAAAAAAACAACAACAGATTACCCATAACAATAAGGAAACTTCAATCCAAAAAGAGATCACTCTGGCAGAAAAACAAATCTGGTCATGTTGCTAATTTCAAAAGCTGATACAAAAATTTATGCCACCAGATAAAAACTGAATGCACCAATTATCACATTAAACAAGAGGAAAACCTTCTATGCACCAATTCCACCTGTGCTTTTTACAATTTTGTAAACAACAAACTAAAAGACTCAAGGTCCATCCCACCCCTGATAGGACCTAATGGTAAAGACTGCAACCACGACACCATTAAAGCCAACATCTTTAACACATTCTTTGGCTCAGTATTTGTAAACAGCAATGGATCATGCCCAGTGTTTTCTAGCTGAACCACAGACAACTACAATGATCTAATACATATCGATTTTACAGAAGACAATGTTGAAAAAGCACTATGCAATCTAAAATGATCTCTATCTATTGGACCAGATGGAATATGTGCCTACTTCTTAAAAAGGTTATCCACTGACATAACCGAACCTCTAAGCATAATATTTGAAAAATCTTTCAGGACCAGCTCCTTGCCTAATCTATGGTCACAAGCCAGGGTCATCCCCATCTTCAAAAAGGGCCTAGTTGAAAATTACAGACTAATCTCCTTATGCTGCGTCACCTGTAAAATCATGGAATCAATTATTAAACAATCCATTATCCTCCACTTAGAGACAAACAACCTACTCTCCAATAAACAATTTGGTTTCAGACAAAAACTATCCTGTAATCTGCAACTCTTACACTGCAGAAACATATGGACGACACAACTCGATCAGGGCAAAGCAATAGACTCAATCTACATAGACTTCTGTAAAGCCTTTGATTCAGTGGTACACAACAAACTACTCCTAAAACTAAAATCTTATGGTATCTCTGGACAACTGCATAACTGGATAGAAGCATTCCTGTCAAACAGACAACAAATGGTCAAAATTGGGAGTGTCCTATCAAATTCTGTACCTGCCAAGAGTGGTGTCCCTCGAGGCAGTGTTCTAGGACCAACTCTTTTCATACTCTACATAAATGAGCTCTGTGATCATATTAAGAGCAACTGCGTTCTTTTCGCTGATGATGTAAAGCTGTTCAATACCACAGACAATAGTGCTACCCTTCAAAAAGATCTTGACTATGTATCAGAATGGTCAAACAAATGGCAACTTCAAATCTCAACAAATAAATGCTCTGTATTACATATTGGCAAAAAAAATCAGAAAATAAAATACAAGCTAAATAGTCAAGATCTTGCTGATGATCCAAGCTCTGTAAAGTACCTTGGAATACTCATCTCTAATGATCTAAGTGCTAGAGCCCACTGTAACTACATAGCCAAAATGGCATTAAGCGTTGTTAATCGAATCCTACGTAGCTTTTTCTCTGATAATATCACACTACTAACTAGAGCATACAAAACATTTGCTAGACCAGTACTCGAATACAGCTCATCAGTCTGGAACCCACATTACGTATCTGATATTAGCACAGTTGAGAAAGTCCAGAAATATTTCACAAGAAGAGTTCTCCACTCCTCTACTCATTGTAGAAAACCTTATGCCACCAGACTTGAAATTCTAGACCTAGAAAACCTTGAATTACACCATCTTCGGTCTGATCTAAGTATGGTATATAAAATCATACATTGCAATGTCCTACCTGTCAATGAATACTTCAGCTTCAACCATAACAACACAAGAGCAAACAATAGATACAAACTCAGGTTAACCACACCAAACTTGATTGCAGGAAATACGACTTCAGCAACAGAGTGGTCAATGTCTGGAATACTCTACCTGATTCTGTGGTTTCTTCCCCAAACCCCAAAAACTTTAACCTTAGACTGTCTACTATTGACCTCACCCCTTTCCTAAGAGGTCTGTAGGGGGCATGCAGAAGCACACCAACGAGCCTACCGTCCCTGTCCTATTGTTTCTTTTATTTTTCTTATATGTACCCATTTCATGTATTCATAACTATGTATATACTTATGCCTGTTATCTTGTAAGCGATTGACAAATCAAATAAATAAATAAATAAATAAATTTGAGATCAAAGAATCTGCCAGGAGGATGTGCTGCTTGAGACTAGAGACTGGAATGCCAAACTTGGAAATATGCAGTGATTCACTTAATAATAGTGGCAAGAAAGGTTGTAAAATGGGGCAAAATTCACTTAACAACTCTCTTGCTTAGCAAGAGAACTTTTGGGCTCAATTGTAGTCGTAAGGCAAGGACTATCTGTAGCTGGGTACTGAAACAGGGGAACAACCTATTAATTTCTGCTCCTCCAGTAATTTCTTCATAGCTAACACTATCTTCAAATGACTGAAACATTTATGGATGTCACCAGATGAAATACAAAGAAACCAGATCAACTAAATCATTTGTGTCAAACTCGATCACGTCACGTGACATATCATGATGTATCATGACTTTTTTGCCTTTGCAGAGCCAGTGTGGGCATGGCCTGCACATGATGAATCCGGCCTGTGGGCCGTCAGTTTGATACCTCTGGACTAAAAGGAAGTGGGAAGATCCCAATTAGAGCATCAAAGACTGTGAAACAAATAATGAATTGCTCATGTGCCATTTCAGGTTAAGTTAAGGAAGAAGGAAAACCAGTCAATTTCTCTGATATGATCTTGAACATATACAATAGCTGTTATCTTCAAGGAGAATCTCAGGAATCCTTTTAAAGTCCTGAAGATCAGCAATAGAGAATCAAAAGAACTATGGAATGAACTTAGAGATGTCATAGAGATGAAGGTGAATTTTTTGTTGTTGTCAAAAATGGAAGAAGAAAAAAAAAACCAGAAGAAAGCAAACTGGATGTTGGAACAGACCAGAACTTTCCAAGAGAAGAGAAGCCAAAGCCAAGAAAGACAATAATCTTGTCAGGATTTAGGAAAGAATTTAACAAAAGAATCTGAGAGAGTTGTGAGAATTGTTCTTTCCTATTGTGAGTCTCTTCATACTTTACTTCCATTGACACTTATCTGGACTGTTTGTCAAGGGTTACTGTTATTCATGATGTCTATACAAATCTCTCTCTCTCTCTCTCTCTCTCTCTCTCTCTGTGTGTGTGTGTGTGTGTTTGTGTGTGTGTGTGTGTGTGTGTGTGTGTAGAGAATAGCTTTTGTGGATAGAAATTCTTTATCCTGTTTTTTCATGTTTTATTCTTGTCTTTATCCTGTTGACATAATGGTTAAAGTCATAGAAGAATGCTACCTCTCTATGGGAAAGATGCAAATATTTGATATGTTAGTTAACGGGCTCAGACTGACCTTTTCAACCGCAGCAAATGTAGAGGTATATTTGAAATGGGATAAATACAATAACAACAATAACAACGATTTCTTTTTACAATAGATTTCTGTGAACAATGGAAGTCAGTGGAGTAGACAAGGATTGTGAAATTGAGCGGAACCTTTCAAACTACACTGGCAACAAATGGATGTGAATCACAGTAAAACTAGCTACACCGAAATTATTGACACTGATGGAAACCAAAACTTCTCAAAGCATTTTTTCTATTGTGAATCCTGCACTTTGCAGGCTTGCTATATTAAAATTCCATAAACCATCCGTTTTGCAGAAGTGCCCTTATTCTGACTGAATCTGTAGCTGTCCAATTCATGGAACTGTCAAGATCGAGGAAATTATGTGTTATCCCGAGTAATTCTTTTTGGTAAAAAACTTTTATTTAAAATTTGCCCAAGTATATTAAAGAATTGCACTTTCAAAGAGTTGAACAATTATTCCTCTCTATTTTACTGACAGTTTTCTGGATTGCTTTCTCCTCTAAAAATTTAATCAGGCAAGATCCCACAAATTCCATGATCATTGTATAAGAATGCATGTCTGGACTGCAAGTATGCACAAATCAGGTTAAATATGGATTGTGTCAGTGGAATCAATTCATTATTCCATTAAAGTTATTTTATAATAACTGCTGGTATATCCACATGTATTGATATCCAGATGCAACTTTCTCACATGTACTGTAGTCCAGGGGTGTCAAACTCAAGGCTTGGGGACCGGATCTGGCCAGCAGAGTGCT